GACAGGGAGCGGCACAAGCTGACTCCTTTGGACCAAAGCCCTGTAAAATGGCCAAGAAAAGTGACCTGAACAAATGGCATCTTCTCAGGGTCCCTGGGACAGTTGGCAGCAGAGAGTCAGACTCTGTGTCACCCAGCAATCTGTATCGCTCTCATTCTCTATCCTTGCACGAAGCCTTGTTGTCCCCCAGCTTTGGGCAGCAGCAGTGATGGGCAGAGGGATGTCGTGGTTGCAGAAAGGACCGGGCAGTTTGGGAAGGTTTTATTGCCTGTGTGCCTGCTGCATCCCTTTCCCGCAGGCAAACCGGAACATCTATCTGCTCCTCTGGCATCCTTCCCCCATCTAGCAGGGTCTGTGGCAGAGTGGGAGCTTTTTAATTGTCCTTTGGCAGGTTTTTAAGCTTCTTTAATTATTATTTGTTTCTAATTCCTCAGGGGAACATCTGGGAACAGATTTTTCGCATTTCATTCATCCTTGAGATGATCAACACGGTGCCATTTATTATCACAGTGAGTGTTTCCCGGTGACATTTTAAAGCAGCTTTAAGATTAGTAAGTGCTGTAGTTTTGGTGGTGAAATAAAAAATGGGTGTGTGGCCAAGTAGTATTTAAAGCTGACAGGATATTTTTTCTTCAATATTTTTCAATATAATGACTTTCTCTGGAGTGTTATCCCAAAAACCATCCTCCCTTTTCAGCTGCTCTGCTGCAGCTGGGGCTGCTTTCAGTGGCAGCCTCTGGAGAGGCTGGTGCTTAGTTTGGAAATGGATCCTTCCTGACAGGGTTCAAATCGGCTGTTTATAGGGGTTATTTTTATGAAAAGCATGGAATTTTCTGTGAATATCTCTCGCTTTTGTAGATATTCTGGCCTCCTCTGCGGAATTTGTTCATTCCCGTGTTTCTGAACTGCTGGCTTGCCAAATATGCCCTGGAGAACATGATTGTGAGTGACTGGGTGCATCCCACCCCTTTGACCTGCCCTGGGTGAAGGGGTTTTGGTGTTCCATGCCTGCAGCAATGCTGGGGGTGGTGGGAGGTGATGCCAGGCTGTGACCTGCTGCAGAGAAGGAGCCCTTTGGTGTCCGAGCCACACTGATTCTGTTGGTTGCACACTGAGGGGGACGGCCTCTGGCTGTCCCCAGGACATGGTATTACAGCAGGACGAGATGTTCCAGCCGTTCCCATGTGCCCACTGGAGTTGTCTCTCCTGGCAGCAGAGACCAGACCAACTCACAGAAATGTACATCCCTTTTCAAGGGCCAAATTCTGGCCTGAACTTCATCTGGGGGCATTGCTGGAGGCAGCGGGACAGGGTTGGTACATGAGGGGGTACTTTCCCCTCAGCCTCTCTGAGCTGGTGAAAGCTCTCTCCTCTCTTTGCAGAACGACCTGCACCGGGCCATACAAAGGACCCAATCTGCAATGTTTAACCAGGTGCTCATTCTGATCTGCACCCTCCTGTGTCTCGTTTTCACAGGGTAAGTGTTGCTCTTCCTTTCACTAAACCACCTTTTTCACCCAGGAAAAACAGCTTTGCACATCCCAGCCGGGCTTTTGCCGGGCTTACAGGAGAGGGAGGTGGGATGGGACCTTCCCAGCTGCGGACAAGGAAGTTGAGTTGCCAGGACCTAATGTGGTGATTTGGGAAGCCAAAGGAGGTTCTGCTTTTAGTCAGTGTCTCCTGGCCTGATTTTTCTACCTGAGAGGTTTGTGCATGCTGAGGAAAGTATAACAGGGTGCCCAGAGAAGCTGTGGCTGCCCCATCCCTGGCAGTGTTCAAGGCCAGGTTGGACGGAGCTTGGAGCAACCTGCTTTAGTGGAAGGTGTACTCTAGAAATTAATTATCTTCCCTAATTATATGATTTTAACAGAAACCTTTTAATGGCATGCGTGAGGGTGTTGGAAGGAGATGGGTGATGCATACAGAGCATGGCTGTGAGTGCTGCAGGGTCAAAGGCAGGAACAGCAGCTCCCTAGAGGCTTGGACATGTGTGATGCCTCATTCACCAGGACCCATTGCACTCACTGATTGTGACCACGCTCTTCTCCCCACCAAGATACCACTTGAGATACCTATTACACAAAGAGCTCATTTGTGTAATAGGCCACTGGGGCTCCTGCTAATTAACTGGCCCTTTTACCCCGCGCATTGCCAACAACAAGGGCAGCTCTTCATAAGGGAGTCAGTTCTCACTGCTGGGTACTTAGCTTTAAATTAGGCTTTTTGAATCTTCCTCTGGCTCCCTTGGTCGGGATTTGAAATGTATAATACCACTGAGCTGCTGAACGGTCAGGAAATGAAGCTTTTAGTCTCATGAGTCTTTGGCAATAAACACAATCCTCTGATGCAAATGACTAATGCAATTGCAGAGCTCATCAGTGCTCCCTGCCCATTGCACCTCCTGCACGCTATGGCCGTGGTCGTGTGTCTTGTTGGATGTGACAGGGCTACAATTTGGGTGCAGGATGACTTAGGTCATGCTTCTGTTTGGCAAGATAACTTTGAAACTGCTGGTAGTGAGGTAGCTCTGTGATACGGCTTTCCAAGGGCAGTGGCATGGGAGTAGGATCTGTCTATTCCCTCTTATGAGAGCCCTCACCATGGGATGAGTCTCTCCAGATCCTTACTGGGACAGCTGCTTGCTTCCATGTTTTGGGGTTTTTTGCAATGCAAAGGCAGCCCCCAGGTGATGTTCAACATGTTATCCATGGCATGGACTTACTGTGGCCTGTTACCCATGTCCTAGACTTCCCAATGCTGCTCCGGTGAGCAACCACATCAAACTAAATCTTTCATCTGTAAGTTTCATCAGTGGAATCATTTCTGCTGGTGACATAAATCCACTGCTGATGCTGACAGCGTGTTACAGAAAGATTTCCTCCATGGACAAGGGTTTAAGTTGCATTCTGGGGTCCCCTGCTGACTTCAACAGGCGCTACAGGCACTGCCTGTCTCCTGGGCAGGGAAGCACAGGCTGTGATGTGCGCTGTCTCCCTTCAGGACCTGTGGCATCCAGCATCTAGAAAGGGCAGGTGAGAAGCTCTCCCTCTTCAAGTCCTTCTATTTCTGCATCGTCACCTTTTCCACTGTGGGCTATGGAGACGTGACACCAAAGATCTGGCCTTCCCAGCTCCTCGTCGTGATAATGATTTGCGTTGCCCTGGTCGTGCTGCCGCTCCAGGTTAGGCCTGCACAAGGATGGAGAGGGATGGAGTCTGCACGCGGGCGGTCCTGCCGATGGGGACATCAGCTCTCTGCCTTCGCTTGCAGTTTGAGGAGCTCGTCTACCTGTGGATGGAGCGGCAGAAGTCGGGAGGCAATTACAGCCGTCACCGTGCCCAGACGGAGAAACACGTTGTCCTTTGTGTCAGCTCCCTCAAGATCGATCTCCTCATGGACTTCCTCAATGAGTTTTATGCGCACCCACGGCTGCAGGTGAGGACCAGGCGTGTGGCCACGCTGTGCTCAGTCAACACTTGCCCTTGCTGGGCTCAAAGCCTTGCTGGGCACAGCCAGGTCACTGCTGGTAGTAGGTACCCTGCCCAGCTACAGTGGATGTGGCAGCATGTGCTGTACTGGCCAAGGAGAGGTGACAAGTGGTACCCTAGGGCACCTCGCTTTGCTGTCTTCATGGTAGGGCTCTCTCTGCCTGATCCCCCTTGTTTTCTAGCCAGACCTGTTGCAGCACTGTGTAAGCACATGGAGAGGGACCAGAGGGACTTTTCTAAATGTAAAAGATGTCTTTGCTGAATGGAGAATCTCAGATGGAGAGAGAACGTGTAATTGCTAAACCTCTGTGGGATTTAACCAGCTTTTACTGGAGTATCCCCACATAATGAGTGGTCTTCTTGCAAATGGCTGTGCCTTTCCTGCTTCCCAGGATGAGAGCATCACAGATGTGTTTCAGATTTGCATTTCATTCCAACACTCGCATACATTTCATTACCATCACCCAGCCTTGTCTCCAGCTTGACATTCAAGCTTTAAAATCCTGCTCCTTGCAGTAACTGCAAGAGGCTCCACTTTGCTGTGAGCATATGGCTGTCTCCTAGTTCCATAGTCAGATGTACCTGCATTGGCTTTATTATGCAGAACAGGGTGGAGGAGATGCTGATGTGTTTCCCAAGACCATTGTAGGACCCTGGAGCAGGGGCAAGGGGTGTCACACACCAGGAGCAAATATCAGAAGCCCCAGAGCAGCAAAGCCCCACGTGCAGGACCTCCATCCTGCCAATCCACATGAGCCTCTCTCTTCCAGGACTACTACGTGGTGATACTTTGCCCAACAGAGATGGATATCCAGGTGCGGCGGGTCCTGCAGATCCCTCTGTGGTCACAGCGAGTGATCTACCTCCAGGGCTCTGCGCTGAAGGACCAGGACCTCATGAGAGCCAAGTGAGCTGAGGGAGACGCTGCACATCCACAGCAAGGCTGGTTCTGCCATGCAGACCTTGGAGCCACAGAGGAGGGTCCCCAGTAATGTCAGCCCAGATGCATGATGATGGGCTTCCCTGCATATCTTTGCTGGGGTCTCGGAGGGGGCTGGCAGCGCCCTGGCTGGTACAGGCAGATGCCCAGCTTTGTTGGCCATTGCAATTCATGGAATCGCTGCTCTCTGTTTGCAGGATGGACAATGGAGAAGCCTGTTTCATCCTCAGCAGCCGGAACGAGGTGGACCGCACCGCGGCGGTGAGCCAGGCCTGGGGGTGGCATGGTCAGAGGTCATTCATGGCTCAGCCATGAGGGACCGGGGTGATGGCTGCATCTCGCCTCTGCCTGGCACAGAAGGGCACCAGGAGGCAGCTGGAGTGAGAGCACTGGGAGCTGAGTCCCTGCGGGTTCACCTTCCTTCTGCTGCCCCAGCTTCCCATCAGTGCTGGGTCTTGGGGAGCAGGAGAAGGCAGTTATCCCCACTGGGGTGTTGGAGGACCCTTTGCATCGGTGACCGGGTGCTTTGCAGTTCATCCTGGGTGTAGACGCGTTGGGGAGAATAAGCCATCAGACAAGTCGCTCTTGCTCTTCTCCTTGACAGGATCACCAGACCATCCTGAGAGCCTGGGCTGTGAAAGACTTTGCTCCAAACTGTCCTCTCTATGTTCAGATTTTAAAGCCTGAAAACAAGTTTCACGTCAAGTTTGCTGGTGAGTTGAAGGGGCTGTGCAGGAAGAGAATTAGCTCTATCCCAGCCAAAACCAGAACAGAGTCCTCCTGGTTGCTGCAAGAGGCTGTCAGCCCCTTTATCATCATGTGCACTAAAGCCTGCAGCAACATCCCCACAGATGCAGCAGTAGTGGCCTCAGTGGGCTGGTGTCCACCTTTCCAGCTTGTTTCCCTGTTTTCCTGTCTGCATCAACCCCATTCATGGTGTTCCCCATGGGCTGTTGATCAGCTGAGAACCATCCCAGACCGGCAGGAGGAGGAAGCATCCAGCCCCGAACACCACCCCAAAATTACCACATGTCCAGGCACTGTCAGTGAGGACAGTGAGGACATCCCCCTCCCTGCTGCGACAGTGACAGTCCCCTCTGCCTTTCAGATCACGTCGTCTGTGAAGAGGAGTGCAAATATGCCATGCTGG